GGTTCTTTTCGGAGGCATACCTTTTAATCAATCTTGAAGCCGATGCAATCTAGGGAGGGTCGGCTGGGCTGTCTGCAGCAATAATGCTGATGAACGACGAAGCGGCAGATGCATTTGGAAGACCAGCGTTTGGCTTCTACGCAAACGTCAAGAAATTCTTCACGGTCAGGGGTTACTCTTCATTGCGAAGTGAACTAGGCTGACATCATTGGGCTCTGAGTTCGAATTAGTGGAATGTCTTTTTGATATTAGAGAAGATTCTGGCCACAATGAATGATCCGAAAATATTTTTGTAGTTGGAGGCATTCCGGTTCATCAGAAAACAAAGGTTTATGCAACCAAAACTATCTGGAATAACACCGTGCAATCCACTTATCCCTATCCCTTATCTCTCTTATTTAATTCCTTCTGAAAAACTTAATATTTACATGAGGGCAGTGTTCCTGGTCTGAAGGATCTTGGGTTTACAAAAGAATATTTTCATGCTTGACATCTCTATATCGTAGGGTTTTTGAAGGGAATCGAGGTGAGATGTGGAAGGGGTCATCTTAAATAAGCGCTCGACAAGAATAGGGAGTTCATCGGGCATATATTCGGAGAAAGTAGCTTATGTCAGAATATTCGCTCTTTGCAGCATGGGGTTAGCGACGAGGATCGTATTTGATATGAACATAGTGATTGGTTGGGGAGGGTATGGGAAAGTTCTAGGTGGTGTACGATACAGTCGATAGCGCCAATATACAGTCGGACTGACTAATTACTTGTAATTGATAGTAATTTCAGAAACTCAGGTGGAAGCTTGACTCCCCCTTTTCAGAAATATGATTCGGCACAACAACTTGCTGCAGCTGCAGGGATTCCAATCGATGTTTTGGAGAAGACATTAGTCGACTATAGCGAATATGTTAAAAGCAGTTCGAAAGGCAAACAGACAAAAGTGAGTGGAATTCTTTAGTATAATTAACGGTTTATAGTGATGAGCTTTTTCAAACATGCTGCCCAGAGGGAGCACAATTCGTTCTATAACTGTTCGGTTTTACTTGAAGGATCCTTTTGGAAAAACTGTCTTCCCAGTGGCAATACTACCGGATCAACCTATCTACGCTGCTATTATCACTCCTGCAATTCATTACACTATGGGTGGATTGAGAATTGACAAAGATGTAAGAGTTAAATGCCTTTCAACTACAAGTTATCGAAGTTATTCATTGGTGATTTTAGGCTCGGGTGCATAATGAGTTCATGAATCAGCCATTCAAAGGTCTTCTAGCTGCCGGAGAAGTGACAGGTACGTTCAAAATCCTCAAGGTATAACCTTGATATTCGAGTGTCTGATTATTTTTTTCAAAAATCACACAAGGAAGCTCTTATAAAATAAATAATGCACAAGGCCTGAGCTAAATGAATTCTAGTATTTTTATTGAAATACTAACTTCAGGAGGGGTCCATGGTGCCAATCGTCTGGCAGGAAACTCCCTTCTCGAATGTGTGGTGTTTGGAAGGATCGCTGGCCGAACCGCTGCCGCCACCAATTACAGTCATGAAGAACTTTGAGCTTTTGTGATGCATTTTCATAATGTGATTAGCCACGAGTTGTTATTTATCCGGTTGTTATACGACTTTGGAGCATGATAATGTCTGTTAGAGGTTGAAAAAAAAATTATTTATTGGTTGCTAAATTGTGATGTTTGGCATTGGGTGTTGTCCAATTGACAATAAAACATTTCCTGTTTCAGTATGACAATTTGTTAGTTGATGCGTTTAAGAAGCAACGCAACCATGCGTCTACTTGAAGTCCCCAGTCATAGGGTATTGCACGATAGTATTGTCACGGTATGATTCGATGTAGGCGAGGTCCTTGCAGAATTTCGAATGGATCGCGGTCAATTTGTTGATATCGGTGAATTTGATATCGATTCTGTTGCCATGGATTGTGCGCCACAGTCCGCTGAACATTACCTGCAACAGGTGTGTATATAGTGAGTTCTCCCTGAACATTTTAAAAAATAAGGCGGAGATTTTGGATAGTTCTGAGCAGTCATTTCAGCGATTAGCGCATCATCATAAATTCCTCCTCCCCCAAA